TCTACGATACGTGGGAAAAGCTGTTCGCTTTGGAATAAATTATGAAGAAGTGCTTGAAAATTCTTTGAAAAGTGCTTGATTTTTTCACCTTAAGGCTGCACAAACCATGTGGAACTACCCCTCTCCAGTAACTGGATCAAAATCAGAGACGGCTGCTACTGAGATTTCCTGGTCCAGTAGCTTGTACGATTTTTGACTGATATTATATTCCAGCTGTTTTGGTAGTGAATGAAAATAAGAATAAATGTGTGTACCATTTGAAGCGGCTCGTGCGAAAACCGCCAATGTCCATTTTCTCTAATTTTGAGAAACTGCTAAAAACTGTATAACCCTTTTAAAAGCGGGATTAAAAAAATGTTTTAGTAATTTAAAAATCGATGCTCTTGGAAAAGCTCAAAAGCTTTTCCGGACAGTCCCCATTTATGTGTGAAACATCGATCTTCTTGTAATTTGAGCTGAAAAACGGGAGTATGTCCTCAGAAATTCGTTACCGCCTGCCCTCTTTTACGAAAAACCCGATTTTCTTGGAAAATTGTTGCACTAATGCCAAAAAACTCGCCCTCCAAGAAAAATCGACTTTTCCGGTAAAATCAAGGGCGATGGAAAATCGGAGGTCATATTCTGATTTAGCACTCTAAAATACAGATTCTCTTTTACAGATTCAGGATAATTATTTTATTAAAAATTGTATGCCCGATTAAAACAAGTCAATTTTGCTCAGTTTCCCGGAGAACAAGTTTTTTGGTATTTTTGCAACAATTTTCCAAGAAAATCGGGTTTTTTGTAAAAACGGCGGGTGACAATACATTTCTGAAGTCATATTCCGGTTTTTCAGCTCAAATTACTTGAAAATCGACGTAACACTATGCGGACGGTTTTTGTAATTTCCCTAGAAGTGAGAAGAGTCCGAAAAAGCTCGGGCCCGGAAAAATTGGACCTTCTAAACAATGACCTTTTCCGAGATCGTCTAAGGGGGGGGGGGGTTGTCAGAGATTAGTGAAGGTCAAAGGGGTACGTGAAAAACGGGCCATTTCACGCTCGTGTTGGATACCATTGAAACTTGCCCTATTCATTCATCTAACAATGCCCCATGTTTTCCCAAAGTTTCAAGTCCCCAAAAAATTTTTGGGGGGAAATGGCGGGGGTCAAAGTTGAAAATCCCCTAAATTTTCGCGAATTTTTTACTCGAAAACTACTGAATATTTCGAAACGCGGTTTAAACGAGCGTTTTTAGCGTGAAAAGAGCTTTCAGAAAATGTATAATATTATAGGGTTTGGTCGACTTAAACTCGAGTTATCGCCTCCGAAGCGCCGGAACGCTAAAAAATGACCCGCTTTTTTTTCACGTTCGGGCCGATCCCCAAAATACTCCATTTTTAATTTCTTTGAAAAACTGATATGTTGTTCCTGACTCTCTATGGCACCTATATGTCTTTACCGTATCCTGGGGAAATGTTTTGTTCGCAAGTTATAAGAGCGAAAAGGAGCGAAGGTCGGGAAAATCGGCTATTTTAAACTGCGCGCTGCGACGGATCAGGAGACATGTGGCAACAATGCGAGGTCGGCAGAGAAGTGTGATTCGCCGAACTGAAGAGAAGGGGGCGTTCTCCTTCTAACCCATGCGACGCGCGCAGTTCAAAATAGCCGATTTTCCCGACCTTCGCTCCTTTCCGCTCTTATAACTCGCGAACAAAACATTTCCCCAGGATACGGTAAAGACATATAGGTGCCATAGAGAGTCAGGAACAACATATCAGTTTTTCAAAGAAATTAAAAATGGAGTATTTTGGGGATCGGCCCGAACGTGAAAAAAAAGCGGGTCATTTTTTAGCGTTCCGGCGCTTCGGAGGCGATAACTCGAGTTTAAGTCGACAAAACCCTATAATATTATACATTTTCTGAAAGCTCTTTTCACGCCAAAAACGCTCGTTTAAACCGCGTTTCGAAATATTTAGTAGTTTTCGAGTAAAAAATTCGCAAAAATTTCGCGGATTTTCAACTTTGACCCCCCGCCACTTCCCCCCAAAATTTTTTGGGGACTTGAAACTTTGGAAAAACATGGGGCATTGTTAGATGAATGAATAAGGCAAGTTTCAATGGTATCCGGCACGAGCGTGAAATGGCCCGTTTTGCACGTACCCCTATAGGTTCAGTGGCTCTTAATACAGCGGGAGAGACCTATAGATGATCTCGGAAAATTTCTCAAACTCCTCAGAACAGGAAAATCATCGCAAAAATACCCTGAAAAAGCGTTTTCTGAGGAAAATTGAATTTACTATGAAAAGGATGGGTCCAAAGAAAAATCTGAGATTGTATTTGGATTCAACAGTTCAAAATTTTATAGGAATCGATGTATCACACATCGGAGACATTTTTAAAATGTATTTTTAATACAATTTGAGTCTTGGAAAGCTTTTACACTTAGGCTCGGAAAAATCGGCTTCAGGTACCGGCAAACTGGGGGAGGCCGATTGAAAAAACCGAGGTCACATTCGGATTCAGCAGCTTAAAATACATTAGAAACACACTACCATGGTCAATGAAAATTTATAAAAGTAAATTGCATGCACGACATTTTTTTCATTTTTTTTGTTGAACAGTCTTATTTGCCAAGTGAGTAGCCAATTGGCCAAGTTGCTGTAAAACTCCAGGAAGTTTTCGAGTCTTCGGGTTTCTTACCCTGAAGTCTCAAGTAGAAAATTAGACGATGGTATTTAACCCTTAGATGACTAACCAGGTCTCTCAGGCCCGGCGGCTTTTTATTTTTCGCGCCACGGCGGCTGTAATTAACCTAGGAGTCTGTCCCTCACAAATAGCTCTACAAATATCCTTAAAAACATTATTCTTGAAAAAAAAAAATTTTCAATTTTTTTTTAAGACACAGCAATTTTTTTTTCATGCCTACCCCTAGAAAGACCAACCCGGGCCTGCGAGGCCCGTATTGAGAATAAATGGTAATTTGATGGCTACAATGCTTTTTTTCTCTATTTTTGGATGAATTTTATGATTTGCATGCTTTGACTTCTCTAACCAAGGTCCCAATTTTTTTTTCACCCATTGGCTGCCCCCCCCCCCCCCTAAACACCCCTCTCCTCTCCCCAGTACCTTCAGATCTAAGAGTCTTTCATTTTAAACACATTTTTATATCTTTTTTCAGGATTTGAGGAAGTTAAATTGAAGGAGCATTATTACCCCTATAAGTATACTTGCATTTGAGAAGGAGGGGGCAACCTTGCCCACCCTCCCCCTCCCCCTCCTTCCGGTGGCCAAAAAAAGTAGTACTTTCCGATGTGTTTCTTTCAAAGTTTTACACTTAGAAGGTTTATTTTTTCATTTCGTGAAAAGAAAAGAAAAGTCTAAAATGTATTATTGTACTATTACTACTATTAAGTCGCTCTCATGGCGCTTCTGTGCGCTCTGCGACACCCAACCGCTACTGACAGCGATCTTGCCAGAGCTTCTTTGCTGTAATAGTTGTAGCTAAGGAGTGGTCATGGAGGTAATATACTGTCTAAGAACTGTAAAAGCTTTATGCGTTATTTTCTTACAACTAAAAGGTAACGCCTTAACACATTCACCTTATTACAAGAATCACCTAAGATATTAAAATAATAATAAGTAAATAATAAGTCTGATTTTCTTGATCTTCAGTAATTTTTTTTGTTTTGTTTTTCCTAAAATCTTTACTACTTATGTTTATTGTCCGTCGTCTTACTACTGGAATCATTATTCATTATCTACTTTTACTTTTTAACGATCCAAGAGTTTTCACGACATAAATTTAGGTGTTTCTTGTGATATGGTGAATATTTAAAGGCGTTATCTTTTAGTTTTAAGAAAATAACGCATGGTGCTTTTGCAGTTCTTAGGCAGTATATTTCCTCCATGACGACTTCTCAGCTACTACGATTACAGCAAAACCTCAGGAAAACCATTAGAAACTTCACAAGAAATTTTTTCCCGCGTTTATCTCATAATTAACTGTGAGTAAATTTGCTCTCACTTGTCGAAAAGTTGGAAATTATATAGAAGTATTCCATAAATAACAACAATACATAACGCCCATGAACGCCAACGTAGAGGACGCCCTGTCAAATCATGGATTGAGGGAATAAGGCTTGAAATGAGGAGATGCGCTCTGCCAGAGGTGCTCTGGCAAGATCGCTGTCAGTGGCGGGTGGGTGTCGCAGAGCGCACAGAAGCGCCATGAGAGCGGCTTAATAGTAGTAATAGCACAATAATACATTTTAGACTTTTCTTTTCTTTTCACGAAATGAAAAAATAAACCTTCCAAGTGCAAAACTTTGAAAGAAACACCTCAGAAAGTACTACTTTTTTTGGCCACCGGAAGGGGGGGAGGGGGGAGGGTGGGCAAGGTTCCCCCTCCTTATTAAATGCAAGTATACTTATAGGGGTAATAATGCTCCTTCAATTTAACTTCCTCAAATCCTGAAAAAAGATATAAAAATGTGTTTAAAATGAAAGACTCTTAGATCTGAAGGTACTGGGGAGAGGAGAGGGATGTTTAGGGGGGCTGGGGGGGCAGCCAATGGGTGAAAAAAAAATTTGAGACCTTGGTTAGAGAAGTCAAAGTATGCAAATCATAAAATTCATCCAAAAATAGAGAAAAAAAAAGCATTGTAGCCATCAAATTACCATTTATTCTCAATACGGGCCTCGCAGGCCCGGGTTAGTCTTTCGTGTAGGTAAAAGTGGTCAGTCATCTAAGGGTTAATTGTATAATGATTTTAAATCAAACAATACACCGATTATGAGGCATATAACAAAAGATGGACATTCGAGGTTTTCGCATGATTTGTACCACGCCCCCCCTCCCCTCCCTGAAAAGGGGTTCAAACCTAAAGAACAAACATTTTCACCACATTAATGAATATGTCTAACCCACTAGAGTATTTTAACCCAAAAGTCTCAAAATTGGAAAAAAAAAATGGACCTTAGTGGTTTTTGCACGAGCTGAGTCTTTTCATTTCTTTCTCCAGGCAGCGAGAGAAGCAGAAGAAAAAATGCGGAAGAAGAAAGAAGAGGTCGAAGCAGCAGAACGAGAAAAGTTGGCCGCTGAAAAAGCAGAAAAAGAGGAAATGAAAAAAGCGTTGAAGAAACAAAGACAAACCGTTCGGAAAATATGTAAAACTAACAATTATTTTATTCAAACTGACAAGGAATTAGTACCTCACATGTCCAATATTGAGAAAATGTGTGATATGTATAGTTTAGATGAGTAAGTATTTGTTTCTTTCTTAAACTTTCTATAGGACTGATAGCTGTTCCAGGTTGCTGTGTGAGTGATTTTACGCTTTACTTGAAAGCCATATTTTTCTCCTTAGCACCAGAATTTTTCACAGAAAGAAAAAAAGTCTTACCCTCAAGCACTGTTGAGATGATTTATCTCCTACAGCCTGATTGTTCAAATTTTTATGTGTCGACCAGATAAGACAAGATTAGGCAGGAATGGAGTTATACGATAGGTCAGCTTTATCAGTTGTCTTTTTTGTTGTGCCTTTGGCGGATGGAATTGACACAATGCAAAAGTCACGTTTAATGAAAATGATTGCTAGACTTTTTGAAATTTACAATCCATATACTTTTTTTCTTGATTATAGTTTTCATTGATCTCCTGTTTATATTACTTCATTTCTATGAGTTACTGAATTCTGATGTTTAAATTCTTTTTTTTTTTACTTTTATATATTTTTATTTGGTGCGGCTTTTAATTAAAGAAATTATTAACTAATAAAAACGCCTAATTTCAATGTTTTTGAATGAAAACGATCCAGAAATGCCTCGCAGAATGGCAGTTGTTGAATGTTGTTAAGACGTTGAACAACACAGGGTAGGGGAGAAACACTTCTGGATTATACGAGGTGTGATCAAAAAGTTCCCGGACTGGTGCCGCCCTGGGCTGAAAAATAGGCCAAACAAGCTAAACTTAGGCTCGTCTAAAAGCTTATACTCTCACGAGTACACTCCTTTTTAGTTCTTGAAAAAATATCAATTGGTTTTTGCACAGTGTCAATTTTACGGAGACGTGTTTGCGTCGCATGGCGATTTTTTTAATTCAAAAAAATAAATTTTGAAAAGGGCTGAAAAATGGTCCAAACGAGCTAAACTTAGGCTCGTTTGAAAGCTTATACTCTCACGAGTACACTCCTGTCTAGTTTTTGAAAAAATATTCATTAGTTTTTGCACAGCGTCAATTTTAGGGAAACGTGTTTGCGCCGTGCGGCGATTTTGTCTGCGAACGAGCAATGACCAACATCCTTTTCCAACTTTGAGGTGGCTGATAAGACAGGTGTATCCAGCGATCACGCTGATATGAGTCTATCCTATCTCTGGTGTACTTGCACAAGATAAACCACTATTTTTTACCTGAAATGTGTCACTTGGAACGCATCAAGATGCAATTTTTCGAAAAAAAAACGAAAAACTCGAAAAATTGCATCTTGATGCGTTCCAAGTGACACATTTCAGGTAAAAAATAGTGGTTTATCTTGTGCAAGTACACCAGAGGTAGGATAGACTCATATCAGCGTGATCGCTGGATGCACCTGTCTTATCAGCCACCTTAAAGTTGGAAAAGGATGTTGGTCATTTCTCGTTCGCAGACAAAATCGCCGCACGGCGCAAACACGTCTCCGTAAAATTGACGCTGTGCGAAAACTAATAAATATTTTTTCAAAAACTAAAAAGGAGTGTACTCGTGAGAGTATAAGCTTTCAAACGAGCCTAAGTTTAGCTCGTTTGGACCTTTTTTCAGCCCAGGGCGGCACCAGTCCGGGAACTTTTTGATCACACCTCGTAATGCCTCCCAAAACCACTGTTGGGCCTTTCATTTGTATCCACTCTCTTTTTTCTTGTTAAGTCGGAGATTCAAAGTTTTCGTAACAAGTGCGAAATAAAATCGCCAATATCTTGGTTAGGAGTTAATTTCAGTAATTTTCATGGCAGGAAGTGCTTCCTACACGAGGAGGACATATGCCACTTCAATCTACATACTTGTCCACAGATCTATTGGATGCCTTTGTTCTAGGTTAAAATCATTATGCAATGGACTAGCAAACAGAGGAAGAGAATATCTTTTAGAAAAAATTCAGGAGATAGATGAAACCTTAGAAGCCGAACGACACTCGCATCTTACTCCTAAGTTGAACGTTGTTTCTAAAGAAAATTATGCAGATCCAGCTATCACCAATGGAGTTACCTGTAAACCGCCATGGTCTCATGGACAGGTTCAGTTGCTAATCAAAGCTGTAAATCTATTTCCTGCTGGAACAAATCATAGGTGCGTAATTCTATGCAATGTCTTATATGCGTTATTATTTTTAACCTTTTTTTTCTTTTTTTTCCCCCTTTTTCTATTCTGTTGTAAAGGGATACTGGAATAACTAGACACTTGGGTTACTGATACCCTTTTTGGCGAAATACAGTGACTAATGAAGTAAAAAGTATATCTAGGTTAATTTTTATGTTCTTCTGTGAGATTTTGGTTTGAAAGGGACCGACAACAGTGATGAGAGAACTTGTCAATATAACCTCTGATTTGAGCTACTTTCGGAAATTCACATGTTCCCCCCAAAAATGGCCAAGCACCGGAAGAAAGTGAAATTTATCAAGAAAACTTGTTAATGGTTACATTTAAATAGAATCAGTCTATTTGTATTTGATGTCACCTAATTTCTTCTCCTATTTTACAAGAAGAACTAACAAAGATATTTAAATATGCTTTGGAGGAACCTTTCGTTAATTTTGGGTCTTTTTTGACTATTTGAGGACATAATTCATACTGGATATGAATTTTGCAACTTCTAGATGCAAAACCTGACTAATCTGCTAAAGCTCTCATGAGAACTATCCAAGTTTCTTTTACCGTCAAAAGCCTGTAATTGTCTTCATGTCAGTGCTGACGAAAATTTCCAGGGGTAAAGCGACCCCAAAGAATGTTACGAAAATTACCCTAATTACCCTAGTGCCCCATTTCCTCATTAGGAGTCGTATATTTTTGGAAGAAAGACGGGGCCAAAATAATTTGGGGCAAATAGGCCGTATGCCATAACAAGTTTACGCAACTTTTCGCGTAGAATCCAATCTGAAGTGATAACTTACTGTTGCGTTTTGAAATTTTCAACTTATGGCCCTCCAAAGTCCCAACATTTTCGGGAGGTCGTGAACCCCATTATATTGCAGAGTCTCTACTCCCGGGGAAACCCAGAGAATTTGACATCGACTTTTGGAATTTTCGCTTTTTCAAAATCTGCAGGTTTCGACAATTCGTGCTCTATCAATCCAATGGAAATACTGCAGCAGTGCTCTCTCACGGAGTGTGTCCGAAGCTTTTTGCGTCAGTGGCGCGGTCTCGTGTCGCGTGTTTACAGCGTTTTACCTTGTGTGAGCGTTCGTGTATGGTGTTCCTGCCCTCCATCCTTCATCTTCGTTTAGAACAACAACAACACATGAACTCCGTATTTTTCAAGTTTGCGTATTATCGTTCTCTATCATTCAAATACTCTCGCACAGTCAATTTGTTAAAGTTCTTCGTGCAAAAATCCGCAGAATCAATCCCCCTGAGCTATGGTAGAGTTATCTCACTTATTTCTTTTTTTCGTTTTAAGTCCCATTTTGCCCAACTCGATCACAGTTTTTTGACGGTTGTTCAGACGTCGAAAATTACTATTTATCGGATTACATGAAGCAGTCAAAAATTATCATGAAATGTTTATGGAGCATGGTTTTTGGAAGAGTATTTATTTATGTATTAACAAGGTGGAGGAATGGTGCTGGGTCCACACCATTTTGCCGGGAAATCAAAGCCAAGAAGTTCCAAAAATTATAATCAGAGTCAAAAATAAATCTTTCTAACTCTAATGATTTCCAGTACATAACTGAGGGGGGAGAGTGTTCAGCTGAGGCAGTTTGCATTGGAATATTAAGTTGGAGTCACGGCAAGAGATCTATACTGGTTGGGGTCTTTTTAGAGCTTTAGCAGATCACACTTGTTTGTGAACCCAACTTAACATTCTGCAAAATCCAAGACGGCAGTAAAACGCCATCACGGATATAACCCAAGGCATGACAAAAAAGTGTGATCCTTGTGCCATCTACTGTCGCTGCTGAACAACTCTCATAACAAAACAAGGAAAACCCGAAAAAATGATTATCAGGCTGGTTGGAGATGTGAACGCATCTAGACTCAACCGCCCGCTCCTGAACAGGAAAACACATATCCCCAAATTGTGCGTACAGGTGAGAAAAAACCTTGTTACATACGTTCTCCACCTTGTTACGTACAGTATTCATCTTCAGTATTGTCGTAGAGAGTTACTTTGTGTTGCCATTACTCAGGAAAAATAAAGGGAAAAAATGGGGAAAACCAAGGGAATTTGAAGATTGAAATGAAGTCGAAATCCTGCATGTACCAACCTCCTTTTTATCAACCTTGAGATTTTAATATTAGTCCGTAGGGTACGATTGAATGATGGCCAAAAGCCTGCACTTTTTGATTGGAAATTGCTACTTTCAGGGATCTTGAAAACCTTTGAAACTTCATCCAAATTTCAAAAGTGTTTAATTATTTAACACACGAAAAAATGACTTTTTTGCCTTAAGTGACAGCAATGGGAAATTATCTTACTTTACTTTGATACCAAAACAATTTTTTGCGTAAAAAAATGCACCCGCTAGGGCAAATTAAGTGAAGCGTCGCGATACGCGGTGCGCAGTGGAAACGGCGCAATACGAGCAATTAACGTGCTACCCAAGTCATATGCGAGCTACATTTCGGCCTATTCTCGTCTGATTTTCATTATTTTGGGCTTGTTAGAAGCTATGTTAGAAGATGACTAATCAGACTGATATACTTGCGGTTTCCTATCAAATCCGGGTATTTTTCAAAAGAACCGAAAATTTTCAAATTTCCAAAATTTGTAACGACCAATAATTTTCAATCGTTTGAAGAAACAAACCTCCTCCTGAGTATTAAAGAAAGATCATTCTCTGACGTTTAAAATAATACCATGACCATTTTGGTATGGTTATAAATAGATCTATGAGCGCAACTTTAAGCGCACCCCCGTGGCAAGCACTTTCCGTTGGTAGGCGTACGGACCCAATTTCATCGCCGCGCCGCGCCTTATACACCTACATGGTCGCGACCGTGCGTGATTTCCCGGATTCTGCGACAAATTTTCGATTAAGCATGATGTACAGAGGGTATCTAACCTCCCATAAAACATAATTTGTTTATCAGGATTGATTTTCATCTTACAGTCGGTATATGCGGAAGGAAAACAGGACATAAATTCGTACAAATCAACATGAAAGCATATGGAAAAAACTTTCGTCTAAGATATGTCTCTGCCACATACAGTGGCCCATGGATCCTCTTTTTTTGTCAAATTGAAGGAATATTAACTAGAAAACAATAATCTCACCCCATTTGAATTATTCAATTACTTCATATGGACCATGAATTCAGAAAGTGAAACTTAATCATAATAATTGTAAATGGAATTTATTGTATTATTGGCACATAGGCTGTAATGATAACTCCTTGTTCAGTCAGTTGGTATATTATTCTTCCTTCATTATTGGATTGCATATTTCAAAAGAATCTAGATGCAATTGTATTTTTTCTCATTTCATGTATTTTTGAGAATATTAAAAAGTTAATTCGTACATAGTGTTGTGCTAACTAGCATATTTTACTTTGTTTAGGCTTTCACTGATGAAATGCGATTGTTCTGGCATTTCTCCTAATTTTTTCCTGCGATTTTTCACAAGCAAGGGAGGTCGAAGCTAAGCAAATAAATAGAACATCTTAAAATACAAGAATGCAAAAGCATTATAAGCTGAGAATACATGAAACCGCGTTATTATTGTACAGAAATCAACAAAAAATTTGCCTCACGAAAATCTGGAAATTCGTCCAAATAGAGTTGAAATTTCAAAAACTTTCAGGGAGAGATCCTTTGAACCCCTTCTGTACTTTAGGCAGAAGGAGGGAGGGGGAAGGCTCAAACGCTCCCATGATTATCCGATGATGGGGGGCTGAAATAACCTGGCCTTGCGTATGTTGATGACATTTTCTTTCAGTTTCCTATTCTATTTTTATGGGAGTTTGAAGAATCATTCGGCTTGACTATCATCACAATTTTACACTCAGAACCTAATGTTTCTTTTCTTTTCCTAATTCTTAATCGATAGTTTATGCACGCAGCGGCCCTTTTGTAAGGCCAGAAGATTCCCTGGTGTTCTCTCCTTTGCAGAGATATGATTCCTTTTGCTATTGAATAGTATTTCACTTTGGCCATTTCTAAGAGTCAGATAATGACAGAGGCAGATGAATTGCTTCACCAACATCTTCCTCCTTTTCTCGGCTTGCATTACATTTAAATATCTTACTTCAGAACAGATTTAAACAATTCTTGTTCGTTGAATTAAAAAATTTGCCACGGGCGGGGGGACTAACGTCGAGATGCGGTTTTTTCAATCGAAATTCACAACTATGCAGAAAAATCATATCATAATGATTTTTGCTGCAGAGTTTGGTATCTCAAACAAATTTTTCCCTCAGGACCTGTATGATACTTGCACAATCGCTCAGTAAGGTACACAATAACCGAGGACATAATATGGTACTGCTTAAATTTTAGTGAAAGACCAGGCTGTCAATTAATTACGGAATTCAAACTCATTTTGTTATTCTTTCAAGATTTATAAATGAATTTAAATAAGCACAAACTGAGTTTTCAGTCAAAATAATCCTATCATTTTCCACCTTTCTTCTGTTATTGCAAAACTTCCCAGAAAAAACATCGAAAATGGCCAGCGGGTCACAAAAAGAAACTTTAAAGTTCAATAAGAAAAAATTCGGCCCATTAGAAAAATTATCAAAAAAACACTCTATTACTTATTATTTTTATAAATCATTGAAATCAGTGCAATTTTTTAGAAATGATGATGGACAAATATTCTCCGCCTTACCTCAGTTATTGGAGACTCCGTTTCATGTCAAAGATATGATAAAATAACCCCACTGAAAACGGCTAGCCGATCTTTTAAACAATTTCATATCAGGTTTTACTCCAGACAACAAATATCCTAAGGCCAATAAAGAATATGCTTTCATGTTGATTTGTACGAATTTCTGTCCTTTTTTCCTTCCGCATATACCGACTGTAAGTTGAAAATCAATCCTGATAAACAAATTATGTTTTATGGGAGGTTAGATACCCTCTGTACAAGCGGGATCGTTATTCCTGCGAAAAATAGTTTTCCGTAACCCGC